AAGTAGTATGGGCTTTATCATTTTGTCAAAGAGTGACATTGTAAGGAGTGGAGAGGAGATTTCATTTGATGCTACTGCTCCTTTTAAGGCAAAGATTGCTTTGAGGGCTTTTTGTTTTAGATTTTCTAAGGTTTTCTTTAGTGATCCCGTGTTAGTAAATATTACCCCTAAGTATTGATATTGTTTTACTATTTCAATTGGTCTATCATTTATGACAAAATTAAGTGATTCAGTTCTACCAGATTTATGAAAAACTATTACTTTTGATTTCTCTTCGTTTACACGTAATTTCCATCTCTCACAATACCTCTCAAGTTTATTCAACAGTGTTTGCAAGCCATCTTTTGTTTTAGAAATCAAAACCAAGTCATCTGCATACAGTATATGACTTATTTCCTCAACTTTGGAGGTGTCATTAACAGTGTAGAGTTCAGCTTTTATGTCATCAATAAAGATGTTAAACAATATGGGACTAAGGTTGTCCCCTTGTCTTATGCCAATTTTAGATAAAAACAGGTTGAGTATATCCTTTGTCTACTGATACACCTAATCTTGTGTTTTCATACATGTATTTAATAATGTTGTATACTCTGCCTCGAATTCCGGTTTTGAGAAGTTTCAGAAAAAGTCCTTTATGCCATACTGTGTCGAAAGTTTTGCGTAGATCAATGAAACAAGCATATAAGCGTTTATTTTGATTCATGTACTTGTTTATCAGTGATTTTAGTGTGAAAATATGATCGGCTGTCCGATATCCAGGTCTAAAACCTGCTTGTTCTTCACTCAATTTCCGATTAACTTCTAGGTAGATGGACAGTCTGTCCGTTATTATGGAATTAAAGAGCTTACCAAGGCAGCTGGTTATACACAGGCCTCTATAATTTGATGGGTCTGTGTGCTCTCCGGATTTGTATAGTGGCAGTATTATGCCCAAGTTCCAAGCATCTGGTGTTTCCGCTGTGTTTAGTGCCAAATTAAAAACCTTTGTTAGTAGGCCCACTAAGTATTTTGATCCAGATTTTAACATTTCATTTCTTATCGAGTCTTGGCCAGCAGTTTTACCGTTTTTCAGTTTTTAATAGCTTTTTTCACTTCACCGATTGTTATTAAACCGTTGAGTGTAGAGTCTCCTTCTTGGTTTTCATAGGTTTTAATTTCATCATCTAATCTTTTATCTTCAACAGGGGGGATGCCACAGAGTTTTTGAAAATGTTGTTGCCAAATATCAGGGTTCACAGGATTGCTCTTATCATCTTTATCCTTAAGGTTTTTAAGGGTTTTTCCAGAATTCTTTTGGATTGTTTCGTTCAGAATTGATCAGCTTTTTAAGTAATGAGTCTTTATATTCTCTTTTCTTTTGTTTTAAAAGCTGTTTATATTTTTTGGTTGCCGCATGATATGTTTGAGAGATGAAGTTATTGTGGGGATTCTTTTATAGAGAGCATTGGTTGTGTTGAACGACAACCTGTAAGGGTGTCCCACGTACTTTGTACAGGTATTTTTAGCAGTTCTCTGTCTTATCCCCGAGACATTGAGAGTTTGGCAACGGCCTGTACTAGATTCGTTATTGCTTTTGTCAGCGATGTCATCCCTCTTTCTTGTGAATCCTTCAGCTGCTGCAGCTGCTGCTTGAGTGTTGCAACCTGATTTTTAAGGTCCACATTTTCTGCTTGGATAGCGGCGTCGGTTTGTGTCCCCTTGTCTACCTTCAGCACTATGCGTGTTTAAAATAGTCAGCAGAATAATTACTATTGCAAAAAATGAATTCTTCATTGTGTTAAGGAAGCAAAACACAGACGAGCGTTTAAAAGCTTGATTTCAGGGATAGTTCTTATAGGTACGGAATTCCCACACAGTGGTGACATTTATTAGATATCATGTATGTTTTCTCATGGTCTTCAAGTTATTGACTTTTGATAAACTACGAACTGTCACATTTTCTTTGACCTGTCAAGTGCAGTAACTCTCGATAATCTTGACATTGACACCCTCAAGTAGCGTGCGGGCACTTTTGAAGAAAGCGAGGGTAAAAACTGTACAAGAGTGGTGTGACCCCCTCCAAGATTTTAAAGGTGAAAATTGATGTAGGGGATTTCTTTGAAGATTCTTTTTCCGTTCGAGACTCCCGTGTGGGCTTAGAATATTACACGTTTAAGATTTCATTTGTCTGTAACGGGGACATTCTGTCTTGGAACAGCTGTCTAGACAGCACCGTCCCCGCATCCCCCCCCCCCCTCCCCGCCCGTCCTCCAGAAACATTGTGGAACCGCAATAAGCCTTTTTAACCGCGCGCGTATTTGTGTAGCGCAGGCTTACTTTTTGAATCATTCTCATGCTCCCTCGCTTTTTTTAAAACCCTATCACATTTATTTTGATTATATTATTTAATCATGTTATAAAAGAGAACTTTGCTGACCGAGTTCAAATATCGCTGCTTTCCGTTCTTGTTAACAGCAATATCGACATACGAATACCTAGACAAAAATACACGTACACATGGACTACGGAGTTATGTAACACTGCATGCGGCAATGAAAATATGGCAATCTAAAAACATTGTCGTTTTGCGCAAAACAACCCTGTCGCTATAAGGAGTACAGTTTTATAAATCTTTTTACTTTACAGTACAAATAAGATTTAAAATTTAAACACTCACTGGGAAGTGCACAATATTTTAAATGTATAAAACATCTTAGTGCCTAACACTAAAACAAAAATATTGCCTTTCTCATTCTCCCCTTTTCTTCACAACATTTTTGCTGTATCAGTAGTCGGTCTATCTTGAATGATGTGTAAACATTCAGTTTATTTGCCTGGCGTGGGTGAGGGCTCGGGGAAGATATCAGTGCATTCCACGCCAACATCTTCGCTGTGGCTGCAGTTCTCTATGCCCCAACCATTGTGCTTACACATCCTAATGTGATTTTCGTTCCCAGCGCATTGTAAATTATCAATCCATATCTTGCCCGTACCTTGTCCGAATTGGGTCACTCTTGGGTGTCGGTTCGGATACCCTAGTTGTCTGCACACAACCTTAGCATCATTGACGTCAAACACGTCATCGCAGACAGTTCCCCATTCACCGTTGTAGAAAACCTCCACTCTGCCCTCGTGCCGATAGCCTCCATTCATTAAACGTATGGGCACTGAAGCAAAATTGGTCAATAATTAATTCTGAGTATAGAAAAAGTACCAGCAGCAGTAGATTTAATGGGATTTTGAAAATGTCATCTAAGAGTAAATTTATTTCTCATGACCTAACAGGACCGTAGCCAACAATTTCAAAAAGGACCTTTTACCACGAAACCTTATTAATGTACCTAAATAAAATTTTATCCAGAGTGGACCTTTTCCCCCACAAAAGGAGGGGGTCTTTTCGAACCCACGGAACCCCCCTGGCTACGGGCCTGCTTAATTTATTTACTTTAATTAATTTTTTATCGTTTTCGCATACGATGTGCGTTGTTTATACCAATGTTATCCTCAGAATAATGCGGCAAAGTACAGACTGTTAAAGCTAGATGGCAAAGTCATAAGCTTGTGCTCGTTTCCAAACTGATGTGGAAAGAACACACTGTATTGAAAACTATTTAGAACAATTAAAAAAGCGCGTAAAGCAACGAAATTAATTGCATTTTTCTACAAAAAATAAGCGTGAATGGGGATTTCAAAAGTAACGCACCTACAAGCATTTGATTCAGACTATTGGATGTTTGTTGCACCAACTTCAGCTGCTGCTGTAATTGCAGCTCAAGGCTCTGCATTTCGCTCCTCAGCAGTGCCCTCTCTTTTTGTGAGGAATCCTTCAGCTGTTGCAGCTGCTGCTTCAGTGTTGCTACCTGGTTAGTTAGCGCCACCTTTTCTGCTTGGGTAGAGGCGACGGATTGTATCCCATTGTTTACTTTCTGTTGAACGTCATGAAGAGTTTTATTGAAGCTGTTATCGGATCGCTGTAGCTCTTCAACTTCAGCCGTAAGGTTTTCATCCTTGATACTGGCAGTGTAAATCTCTTGGCTTAGTACGCCCAGCCAGCTTTTTACCCATGCCGCCAAGCCGTCGGCGCCAATGTAATTCTTAACGTTTTGCGTTGGTACTGGAAACGTCGGTTTCGTCGTTATATTATTCTGAGCGTTTAAAACGCTGAACATCATAACTGCTACCACAAAAACTAAGCTCTTCATTGTTTAAGAAACCGAAGCTAGCCAAGCTCTAAAATGCTTGTTTTAGGGGAGGATTGGCATAAGTATGAAATAATGACACTGATTGGACTCGCTTGAAATCCCATGTATAAATTCTCATGGCGGTATGACCAACCCTTGTTTGACTTTTGATAAACCACGAGACTAACAGATTTCTGTGTGTCGTCTGTAAAACCCACCCTGAATTTCAGAAGTAACTAAATAATCTCCAATCTGTCCCTGCCGAAACACGTTGATAACTTTAAATAGTTTATCAATCAGCCCTGAAACCCAGGGTGACGAATTCGAAATACTTTCAGTCTAGGCAGCCATGGGCACGACATAAAACCTCCTTTGTATTAATACCGTTGCACGTGCACGGTGTCATCTTTTATCTCATACACTAACCCAGAAATAATTTTTTCATCTGTTTATTTATCTCAGGCAGTAAACGTGGGAAAGACTGAAACGTCACACCAAATAACGATTGTGGCGCATTATTAACAAAACGAATAAGTACATCAGATTAAAATTAGATATGCACAATAAGATGAACAGTTACATGAACCAAAGAGTTATGTTTTCATCCCGGTTTGTCTGTGTGTCTGTTTGTTTGTTTGTCATCAACATAACTCAAAAAGTTATGGACCGATTTTGATGAAATTTTCAGGAACTGTCAGAAGTGGGCCAAGGGAGAGATCATTAGTTTGATGGTGATCCGGATCAATCATCAATCAATAATCAATAATAATAATAAATCTCTGCCTTGGCGGAGGTCTACTGCTATCGGAGTGGTTTTCTAGTTGTTGGTCTTATTTTACTGATCGTTAGGCCTCCAAGTCCAAAAAGCCAAAATAACCAGAAAACAGGGGGAAAATCCTCGTCTTTATTTCCTCAAAAATCCGTAGCTGATATAAAAAGTAATGGGGAGCGGACTACGGTTCCTAGCGGACTACCAATCCTGTCACACCGGCCTACGTACAGCACAAAAACAAATCTTTCCGATTTCAGCCTCCGCGGAATGACGTCGGAACCGTGCAAGCTGGCCTTTACAACGCGCAGGAGTACCCCTTCCTCTTTTACACGGCCTCTCAACAGTGCTAATAGGCCTGCAGCCTAACATCGTATTCGGTCCTACCACAATGTACGCATAAATCATCTACCCATATCCTGCCTGTTCCTTGTCCGAATGTGATGTTTTTAATTTACAAAATTTGTCCTAAGAACAACACGCTAGAATTTTAAAGCTAATAGATTGAATCCATCCACGTGCGTGCTTATTTCGGAGCTGAGGTGTGACCAATTTTTTTTCTTAGAAAAAAAAATAGTACAAGGCTTTTATAGAGAATGTTGGTTGTGTTGAACAACAACCTGTAAGGGTGTCCCACGTACTTTGTACAGGTATTTTCAGTAGTTCTCTGTCTTATCCCCGAGACATTGAGAGTTTGGCAACGGCCTGTACTAGATTCGTGATTGCTTTTGTCAGCGATGTCATCCCTCTTTCTTGTGAATCCTTCAGCTGCTGCAGCTGCTGCTTGACTGTTGCAACCTGATTTTTAAGGTCCACATTTTCTGCTTGGATTGCGGCGTCGGTTTGTGTCCCCTTGTCTACCTTCTGCTGCACGTCATGGAGAGTTTTACTGAAGTCGATGTTCGCTCGCTGCAATTGTTGCATTTCAGAGACTAACAGGGTGTTGGAACCCTGTAGCCCTTCAATTTCAGCGGTTAAGTTATCATCCTTGACTCTGGCAGTGTAAGCCTCACGGCTTAGTACGCTTAGCCAAGCTTTGATCCAAGCCGCCAAGCCATCGGTGCCAATGTAATTCTTAACGTTCTGAGTCGGGAGAGGACGAGCTAATGTCCTCGTTGCAGCACTATGCGTGTTTGAAATAGTCAGCAGAATAATTGCTATTGCGAAAAATGAGTTCTTCATCGTGTTAAGGAAGCAAAACACAGACGAGCGTTTAAAAGCTTGATTTCAGGGATAGTTCTCATAGGTACGGAATTCCCACACAGTGGTGACATGTATTAGATATCATGTATGTTTTCTCATGGTCTTCAAGTTATTGACTTTTGATAAACTACGAACTGTCACATTTTCTTTGACCTGTCAAGTACAGTAACTCTCGATAATCTTGACATTGACATCCTCAAGTAGCGTGCGGGCACTTTTGAAGAAAGCGAGGGGAAAAACTGAACAAGAGTGGTGTGCCCCCCTCCAAGATCTTAAAGGTGGAAATTGATGTGGGGGATTTCTTTGAAGATTTCATTGAGAACCACAGGCGGTACAAATAACCTGCTTGCATGTTAAGGGGTTTTTTAGAACTGACCCCCCCCCCTCTCCTCCACACACACACACACACACACACACACACACACACACTTTTAGGACACCCAAGGACCTGGTATTGCACTTATGTTTCACGCATGTTTCCCTTTTGTTCTAACATGAGATCTGAACAATGCGTAAAGCAGTGGCAGAAACCCCTGCAAACTCTGAAGACACAAGATAACCAAATGAGAAACGGGGACATGCAATAATAAATAAATAAATAAATAAATAAATAAATAAATCCTACAGGTTAATATAAATGAATGAATAAAAATATATTGCTAATTTAAATGAGATGAAAAATATATGTAAAAGAACGATGCAAATCGCGCACGTGTATCACAATCAATGACGGCCTATTGACGTAAACAAACGTATTACTCCAAGGTACATGTACACGGTATATTTAACAAATAATCAAAAGTTGTGTATTTACAAAAAAAATAGCCCAAGTGTGAAGACGTTTACTATACAAAATAAAGTTTATTAATTTATATTATCATTTTTTCTATAAACGAATTATTCTACATCTATCACATTTTAAAAATGTCACGGAGAGTAAATATGATTCTAGCAACGTAAGCAAATGAGTAACCAGCTAAGCACAATGTGAAAAGCGATTACAATATCGTGTCGGAAATAGAAAATCTATTGTAATTAAATATTCAATACAAATCTTACTTCAAACCTATTAAAATTGTAAAATACTATTCCAATGAGCAATTAATGTGTCCATTTTAAGTCGTGGAACAATGTGTATCAGTGTGTGATCAGATGATATTGAACACAAATATTGAAAAATGGTTAATTTTCAGTAGCAGCAGGTCACAAAAGATATCGACGACTTTTCATGTTAATGTCTACTCAAGGTAGAATGGGGAATTTGGGGGGGGAGGATTAAATAATTATCATTAGAAATTTTGTTCATGTTTTTATTTATTGCCAAATGCTATGTCCCCTCTTTCTTCCTTTAAACCAACACAGGGTATCATTTTTCCACTTTTTTGTGTAATTTATGTCCAATAGGAAATATGATCACATGGCAGACACATTGCGGCATTTCTCAAATTTTGATGTACATTGAAGAACCTTACATGTTAATGCATTCAAACATGGCACAAATAGGACATACACAACACTGGTACAAAGCACAATGCGTTTTGCCTTACTATAATGCCAAAAGATTCGCCTCCGTAGCCTTTAACTGAAAAAAAAATCCACGTATCAAAATCTATGAAGCATATTGAATGGCTTATAATGAGCAAAGGTTGAGCAAATTGATATCAAACGATGCATTTTGATCTTTAATTGAGCAGTCTCCCGCAGCCAACACATCAAAGTTCCACAGATCAATACGCAAGCGCAAGGAGGGGTACAACTGCACGTGCAACGTCGATTAAAGGTCAAGGTCACGTAGCCGACTGTCCTGTTATCGATGATTGCACCACAAATTATTTGTTGCCTTAATGTTTAATGTTAAAGGGCATGGCATATGGTGTGAAAATGTTTAAGAACAAAATCCTATTATGTATGTACCGGTGGAGTGCACCGTAGTCAAACTTGTTGTAGAAACGGTACGAAAATTTCTTCAGTCAGTCAAAAGACATATACACTGTAGGTGTTGTCAAAATAGATCAGCTCACATCAAGTGAAAATATATAGTTTGGCAGTTGTGTATATTTTGATAGCCACTGCGGTAGACACACAAATAAAGTGCGTTTGAGCAAGGATTACAGCACCAACTTTCTAGTCTACATGTATAACTCATTACCGTAGGAAAAAGATTATAATTCCTCGTCTATGAAAATTATCAGCACAGACTTTTATTTCAGTATTTATTCTCATTCACTGCCTCCCTCCTCTTCTACTTTGGATCTCGCGTGCTTTACCTCTTTCTTCCCTCATTCACTTGCTAACTCAGTAACGGACAAACTTGTGGACCGACGAATTGGTACATACTGAGTACTCATTCACCTGCAAAGTCACCCACTCACTCACAATTTCACTTACCCCATCAACCCACCCACTCATTCAAAAATTCACGCATCCGCTCGCTCAATTACAAACACTCACTCACTCACTCATCTACTCTTTTATCTACAAATTCACTAACCCACCCACTCTCCCAATCACAAAATCAGCTACTCATTAACTCACAGATTCACTCACTCACCCACCCTTTCGCTTACTCACAAACTTACTCACTCAAAACCATACTCACCGATCGACTGCCAGACACACAAACTCACTCACTCACTCACCCATCCGCTTACAAACTCTCCCACATCCACCCATTTACATATACTCGCTCACTCACAGACTCACTCAGCTTCTTACTCAACAGACTCAACGACACACTCAAATCAGCCTAGCCTGGTTGTAAGTGTAATAGAGGGTCCATTTGTATAACATATCAGAGATAACCTTATGGTTCTTCCTCAGCGCGTGACAGAATAACACGAAGGCATTTGCACCGGCGGGTGAGTCGTCCAACTTGTCCAGAAGGGCACTGATCCTTTCTAGGTTTCCGCCCTGTGAGTTGATGACCCTAAGGTCTGTATTGTTTAAAGCGCCCCCTGACAATAGTGGCTCCATGTCAACCAGTTCAAAGTCAACGTAGTGAAGGATTAGGTTGCGGTATTCGGTTGACATCTTTGGCTTTACAAAACCTGTTAGAAGACAGTAAGAACAATATGAATAAAGAACAGCAGCAGCGCACACACACACGCACACGTACACATAAACATGCACATACAGGTCTTATAGCCACATATAAGTGCTTCCTTTTAAAATCAAAATGCGGTCATCAATAGGTAAAGAAAACTAGAGTCTGAAAATAGCTCCATTCAATTTTAAAGATAATTATCATAAATTGTGCGTCCTGGAACTTTTCAAAAACGAAAGTGAAAGTAAAACAAAACTCGTACCTTTTCCGTCCAGCATGTTGAGTGGTCCCACTGAGTAATGTTTAGGCTCTGCACCATGTTTCTTCGTTACAATTGGAGCGGATCGAATTCTCCTGTGGTTTGTACTTGGTCGCTGATTGGGGTGAGCCCGGCTCAGACCCGGCATGGCACTTTTTGGTCGACCCGGAAGTGGTCGTGGGCAGTGCGACGCCAACTGAGACGCCTGCATCCGGTTAAAGTCATTTTGCATCCTCAGTTCGAAAATCGTCTTGTTAAGGTCCTCGATTTGTCTTTCGAATTTCTTCGTGTCTTTGCTTCCGCGCTCTTGCACCGTCTCCAGCATGTATTTGACTTTGTCAATAAGAGTCTTTTTCTCTGGACTTTCGATGCGTTTGCTCTCTCGTTTCATGTAAGAGAAATGCTTTGGGGGCTGCTCCTCTTCCTCTTTGGCGTCCTCCTCGGCGGCTTTTTTCTCTGCGCGCTGAAGTTGGCGGTCCAGGTCTTGTAACTCCCTCTCCAAAGAGTTGATCTCCGTCTGGGAAACAATGGGAAAATTGATAAACAACCAACGTTTGTTTTGTTATTATTTTTAAAAAATTATGATGGGAACCACTAATAATTTTGCCTTTTAAAATTGTCTTTGGCGTTTAATTGAACATTTTGATGAAGCAAGAACATATATTTCAACAAAAATAAAGTTGAAAACAATGAAGAGCTTCGAAACTATCTAGTGAAACAGAAATAAGGGGCAGTCCGCCTTGTCCAATTAAAGGCCTAAATTTTAACATGTGCCTTTTTATGGATACAGCTGTAACCACCTGCTTTTAAAAGCAACAAATAAAACAGACTATTTATTAATTTATTTTGAAAAGAATTGGTTCAAACACTCGTTAAAGATACCTACTGCGAGCATCTTTTGTTTCTGTTGACACTTATCATGTACGGGAGTCACCAGCGCGCACATGGACACTTTCAGGGCCCCATTATACTCTCGAAGCAGCGACGCCAGAAGTCTTTCCATTTTTACGTAATATTTCAAGTGGGCTTTGAGGCTAGCCACCTTCAGCACCACCTGGTGGATTTTTTGCTTCACTGCCGTTACTGGGTGGACTTTCTTTGGCGTTATTTTCAAGTTCCTGACGGCTTCCTCCAAATAATCGGCCAGCTCCCAGCGATCTTCCATCTCGTCCAGAAGTTGGGCGTTCAGGTCTTTCAATGTCTTTGTTTCTTGGACGATAACTTCGACCTCAGTCATCGAATCGTTTAGTTTTCTTAAAAATTCCTCCATTTTACTGTCACCTTCTCGGTCAGTTATGAATTATCCAGATTTTCCAAATAGGTGGTTTTGGTATCATTGTAGCCGATCGAAATGATTGTCTTGAATATTTTTCTTCGAAGAATGCATCGCAGCTGTGAAAAAATATCAATGTGAAATGATTATATAGAAATACTAGTAGGCCTACACGCTGAGCATGCACGGTTGTCAACAAAGTGGCTCCACTCGTTATTAGATCCAGCTTATGTTTTGAAGACTTCATGCTGATATTTAAGCAAATAATCTAAACAATAATGTTAAGGTAAGTCACAAGTTATAATCAAGAATCGGCAAAATATGAAGATATATTTCTATAACTTACAATTGTCGAGACTAAACAGAATCAATTAATTTTACTTTGCAGCTTTATGTTTTAAAATGTTTGATAAATAATGTTGTGCCGTGATTATTCATCTATATTTATTCAAAATGAAATAACTCTGAATAATGTGTCTAATTTTCGTCATAAGCACGGAGGGGATACAGTGTAACATTTTTTCTATTATCAACTTCCTTCTATTCATCTTATGATCATGAGTAATTTTTTTCCCTTTTAATTGTGAATTTTATAAATTCTGTAATGTCTATTGAACATACGTTGGATTTTAGACTATAGATAATAATAATTATTATTGTTAATTTTTAACTGTTATTATTATTATTATTATTATTATTATTATTATTATTATTATTATCTCAATATTTTAATCCATAATTATTCGAAACAAGTTAACCCAAAAAAGGAAAAAGGAAAATATTGGATTTCTTATGCAAAAGGCCCTTTTTACATCGTGCTGAAGACTTTTTTTGACTAAGGGCCATTTTGAGATTGAAAATTTTACAACCTCGCAAAAGAGTTATCTAAACACCCCTCTCCCAGTCCCCCCTCCCCCACGACCAGCTAACTGGATAAATATTTGTTACTCGAAGGATCTTTTCAGGCCCTAAGAGTCGTAAGCAAACTAGAAAAAGGCAGTAAAACTCTCACCCATCCCACCCCATCTCTCGCCACCCCCGTAGCGTAATAAAATATTGGGACCGGTGTAACAGGAATGGTGGTCCTGGGAATGGAATTCCGGGTCCTAAATGATTAGTACAGGTTAGTGTTATTCGGGGTATTGGGGTTAGAATATGGGACGAACGTCACCTGTATTAAGAAATGGGGAGCGGGCTACGGTTCGATGAGGACAACCATTCCCATTACACCGTCTAAATGGTGCTAAACATGTGAAAATGGCACGTGAAAATATCACAAGATAAAGTACGTTACTGTACATCTTGTTAAAACTTATAAGTGCGTCGCCATAAACTCCAGTAACTGGTCGTCACATCAATAGTTTCTGGTAGGGCCTACATGTACAATACAATCACCTAGCAGACACATGATGGCTGAATAAACATTAAATCAATGTCGTCTTTCTATTTGGATTCAACTTCCAATTGATGTTTGATTGGACAAAAATAATATTCAACATTGAAATTTCAAGTGTTGAATCAACATTTCGACCATGTAGTATAAACATAGGAGAGTTGCTGATAATGTAACTATCATTTCTGTGATCAAATTGTTTCCTTCTTAAAAAATGTATACAGTAAGAAATAATATGGACACTACACCAAATATTGATATTCCAACAATTTACATGATAATTATCAAAACCTTTAAAACGACCTAATGGACACGGTTGGGGATGGTGAACACTAGTTAATATTTCAATCAGGGAAGTACTTATGCCATTAAGTGCCATCTTTTTAAATATTGACATAACACCAAATAGCGATACTGTACATCAGGCCCACAATTAAATTCATTATCAAAACCAGTAAGTTGAACAATTCAAATGACACACCTGTAGACAGCGGAAAGTAGTTGATAACATTAACATACAATAACTGAAATAAAAACAAAAAAACAGTACCTTAGTAAATGTCCCACGTTGTAGTCTCCTATCCGGTTAACAATACCCACTAGTTGTATAAACATAAATGGAACAACGGAACAATCCCAGCAGACGCTAGATCAAGCCATAACTGTTCGATATTCCCCGGGTAACCGATATATTCAGGGTCAGTGATTTATAAAATTAATTGACTAAACCCCTAATTGACTGACATGCACGTGCATCAATAACGGGGCTTCGATTTCCGATTAAGAATAACGAACAGGTTGCGTCTTTGTGTGCTCCTCGCATGAACGCGATTGAAGGTGTGTCTACACACGAAATAAGGGCAAAACCGAAGTCCAACCCATCAGCCGTTAAGCTGTTTTCAAGCCAGCAGTACGACTTACAAAAGGAGTATAAAGTAATGTTTTGTTCTTGTGTACCGGTGTAACGTGACAGAGAGTCCCCATAACAGAAAGTCTGCTTCCCATTCATTTGTACAGTTAGCTAAGCCTTAATTTTGACCCACTTTGTTTAGGCTAACCCTAACCATAATAACTGAATGGAGGGCGTACTTTCTGTTACACGGGCCCTTAGTTTCGTTACACCGTGCCGTACGCTCTCCACATGCGTCGCAGTGCGCTTTACATTATCTGAAAATATGCCTGGATATTCTTGACCCTGATACAAACTGGACATTGTTGTTCTTATTCCCCTGGGAAAGATACAGTCCAGTTGTCCTATGAGGCGCTCCAAGCATTTGCACTACCCCCCTTCCCCCGCCCAGGTTTGATGTTTAGTGAGGCCAACCGACAATAGTGAGCGAGGTTGCTGTAGTATGGAATGGTGTATTGTCTGAACGCTCCCGAGGCTGAACGCGTGAATAAGTTGCATATTAATTGTTGAGTTAAAGATAGGACTTGTACTATTGTAAAGCACTTAGATCGATCGTTTTGTTATATCATAATAGTGTTATCAAAGTGAAATGAATTTCCTTTCATTTTGTCTGTCTGACTAAATATCTATTCATTTCAGTTTATTTTGCGGTCACTTCCGACACGAGAGGAACGATATTGCTCAAAATAATCCCACACAGTACAAGAAATTGGCAATGGTAAATTAAATGCTAAAAAAACTAATTAGAAAATAAACAGATAAACCAAGAATAATGGTAGTGAACACCAAAACGCACGCTTCTCTCTTGCTTTTAACACCATTTTCTAAGCTACTTATGCGTATCCATTTAATTAGCACGCCTGAGGTATCTTATGTAATAAACACCAAAATCTCAATCTTATTCTAAATATATTTTCATCATATTCCATTCTGATAAATCCATACATAAAAACGAAGCCCTCTGAGTTGATTATATGTGATAAAACCTGACCATTTTTATCAAATTACGACTGTCCTTCGTCACAGTGAAGAATTATTTCCTCTGTCACACCCTTAAAAAGCTCTTCGCTGTCGCATTTAACAAAGTTTATCTCTGTCGCAATCAAAGATGATTTTCCCTTTGCATTCAACATTGGTTACCTCAGTGGCATTCAGTGAATCTGTTGCCGAAACGGATACAGCTTTGACCTTTTCAATTTTTCAATTCCCGTCAAAATTTCAACTTTGAAATAAAACATTATTTAATATTTAATAAAATATTATGAAATAAAATATATAAAATATACAGCGTCAACAACAACAACAACAACAACAATAATAATAATGATAATAATGATGATGATGATGTTTATAATGATGTTGATGATAATAATAATAATAATAATAATAATAATAATAATAATAATAATAATAATAATAATAATGATGTTTATAATGATTTTGATGATGATGATGATGATTATTATTATAATGATGATGATGATGGTGATGATGGCACTGATTAACGCGTGACATATAGCAGCCCTGTAGCAGCATACACTTGCAATTGATAGATTACGGATGAGCGAAGATACAAATACGTCAAAAGCAAAGATAGATAGATACATACATATATAGATAGACAGCACGAATAAGTAGACAGATAAGTAGATGAATAGATAAGTCCAAAAAAACGTAATGAATAAAGCAAACCTATTAATAGAAAATTGATGAATTGGATGGATATATGACTTCAGACAGTAAATTTTAGTGCACATCAAATGTTCACTCAGAATATGCGATCAATATTCATAACAATGTGTCACAGCTGTCAGTAGTGCGTGCATAGCCCAGACACAGTAGGCGTGGTCTTCATTTGTGTCAGTTTATGGAGTCAACGGGGTTCTACAGCTGGTGCTTCTCATTAATGAAGAATATTAATGTAGCGCTCTGTCCTAACTGTGTACTAATGGCAATTCTAATTACGTTCTGATATACTCGTACGTCTTTTTTGGATGTGAGAAGGACTGCCTTTCTTTCTTTCTTTTTTTCTTTACGTGTTCATTCATTCCATTATTTATTTATTCATTTATTGATTTATTGATGGGGAGATTACAAACAACCTTCGTGAGTGTAACATTTCTTTTAAAGAAACACGAAGCTTGAAACTTCTCTTAAAAACAGAAAATTTTAGAATATCTGATTAGTTCTCTAGTAACCGCAGTCAGTTTGTCATAACTAAGTACATATTAGCCCCACACATTGGCCCCGATACAATGGGCGTTACTGGGAAAAAAACCGTCTTTTTTTCTTTGGTGTGATACCTTGACATCGCTTCTACACCCTTGTATACGATGTTGTCCTATCCCGAGTTGTTTTGTATGCTGAAAGATAGAGATATTTATAGAGGCAGTTCATATAATTATTACAGTTGACCTAATGATAATGAATTTTCAGATCGCCAGCTGTTGTTAAACATTTTGTGACCACAGTTGCTAAACATTTCCGCTTATTCTTTTTTTCAAGAGATAACTTAGACAAGGTGTCGTTCGTAATCTAACGGGCCAGTTTAAAGTCTTCTAGTAAAACTGCGCTTGTTCGCCTGAAAGCGTTCATCACCTTGCCGAAATCACACCGGACTTTAGGTACAAGTGCTTTCCATGTTGTTATGCATGTAAACTTAAAAATACAGACACTTACAAGCGTTAGGAAGAAACTGCACTTAGCGCTCATCATTTAAGCAAAATCGCAGCAGACGTAAGTTAAAAGCATTCTGTTATTATTGGGTTTTAAACAATTATAATGGTATGCACATCGACTGCTCCAGCGATCTTGTTGCTGATTGTTGTCACCGTGACAGGAATGTTAGCTGAAAGGAGTGACAGAGAGCCGAGGCAAGTGTACCGACCACAGACGTCTGGATATCATTATGGTAACGTAATTTTCGATTTGCATGTATTATTTATTTATTTATTTATTTATTTATTTGTTTGTTTGTTTGTATCTTTCTTTCTTTTTTTTAGTCCGTGCATCAATTTGAGTTGTATTACAACAATATAGCCTATGTGCGATGCAAACAAACAACTCAAAGACAACATACAGAAAATTCATATTATAAAAGATCAACACGTTATTTTAGGTAAAAGCTGCTACCAGTGTTCTTTCGGACCACGCGTCAAATTTCACAAAGAATTTGGCAGAATATACTACGATGAACAAGGGCACGAAGATCCATATTCCCGCCGTAACAACGGTATCCATAGCTATGAGCATCACGTGAGGGGAGGTCTGACGCAATTTCCGGGATGGGTGCCATGTCGGGGGCCATTCTCGCATTACGACGCAGAGGCGTATGGGATCAATGTTTGGGCATGCAGCAGTAACTGTTACATCAGGATGGACAAAAATGGACGTATGTTGGTTTTGTAGTCTCTTAGACTGCGTTCCCGTTACCTTATCGTAGTAGCAGGATCGATCTATCTCAACGGGTATTCTTGCTAAGGCACAGACAATGTAATCAGCTGAATAAATTGTCTAGAAAGCCCCCTCGCAAAAAAACATTGTAGACCACAAAGTAAATTAAGTTACGAGGGGGCGTGCCAGACATTTAATCTGACATTTAATCTGATTACATTTTCTGCGCCTTAGCAAGAATCCCCGCTGAGATAGATCGATAGATCGCTGCTAGTACGATATATAGGGTTATGGGAATGGCCCTTTATGCGAACACTAGCGGATCCAGAAATTTGAGATAGCAGGGGGGTGGGGTGGTTTTAAAATGTCGCCTCACTTTCCTTGGTAATTGCAAACAAAAATGTACAACATATAGTAATGGTGTGACAGGAATAGTAGCCTGCTATGAACCGTAGTCCGCTTCCCATTGAGCTTACTTTGTACATGTGACATCCATCCCATATACTTACCCTAATACCCCGTGTTACCCTAACCTGTACTAATCGTATGGGACCCCAGACCGCCATTCCTAGGACTACCATTCCAGTAACAACACCTGCCACATGTATAAAGAAGAGCAAGGCGGCGGAAAAATTGCTTGGTTGCGTCTCGTTTCCCACTATCGATTCTTTTTTATTTTTTATTTATTTATTTATTTATTTATTTATTTTTTGAGGGGCGGGTGGATAGGTGATTTGATAGGATACCTCAGCAGCTACATTGTAAAGTGTGTGTGTGTGTGTGTGTGTGTGTGTGTGTGTGTTGGGGGGGGGGGTAGCCGTTTTGCCCACATCTGGATCCGCTAGTTTTTTCCTTATACAGAGCTATTCGTTTATACATGCATTTTTCCAACCAACCAGCTTAACTTCCGTGTCGGCGATGGCGCCGAATCGTTTTGTACATAAAGATGAAAAAATTATTTGGGAAAGCTTATTCATTTATTGAATAATAATTCTTTGGCCCACGAAGGAATATGCAGTGCAGGTACCACAAGAAACCCATCGGAAACTCTTAGTATAATATAACTGGTAGCTCATAGCATATTACTATTTATTCCAGATATTTACCGCGGGTGTTATCAAGGCGAGTGGAAAGTGGATCCGTACCGTCTTGGCTGCCACAAACAAACTGACTCCCTCTGGTGTTTTTGTGAGGGCGACAGATGCAACAATGGACCGCTACCGGGAGTCAGATACGAACCTCGATATTAGTAGAATATTTTTCGTACACATTTACTGGTATTTATAATAATTTGTTTTAACCTCACCAAAGTTCCGTCTTTTGCTCTTAAAGGAATGAAGACTGAAGGCAAATATTGAAATGAATATATCGTCATTTATTGCAAAAAAAAAAAAAAAAATGGATTCACTGTACGCACCAGTATACCTGAATTTAAGAATGGTACGAGCGTAATTAAAAAGCGAGGGATATTGAAAGAACGTCGAAACAAGATTAGAACATGTGTACCCCTCATTTTCTATAAGGTACAGCCGAGAATGACTGTGCATAACAGATATCTCTGATGAAGCAAGATTGTTGCATTAAAATGGCCAAAATATCATTTTCCAACAAAAATCAGGACATAATACTTACTTTATCACAATTGTTGCAGTAACAGTATCTTATCTGAGAGACCATTTATGTTCATGGAATTGAAATTATACGTAACCGCATTGTTATAAGCACTGTGTGTTACTTATTAAACTGTTATTCAATTTCTTAGCAAACTGGCGAAATAAAATCCTGTGTTCCTTAGTATTACGAGTGTATCACCATGGCAATATGTTGCCTTGATTCGCCTGGTTCACAATTCTTAAATAGAATAAAATTGAATAAAATAAATCCATTGCTTCGTCACAATGAATCAAGACTGACCACCCCTGCCTCCCAATGTGAAGAAAATACTGGTGAATATGTTGCTAGGTTGGCATGTCGGTCAGTGACCTAAATTACCATGGTAACGCGCGTATCTAAGGGACGTCACTATACACCTTAAATTCACCCTCTCCTGTCACTTGCTGTACTCCGAATCCGTGCCCCAGCAGACAGATCCCACTCTGTTCTTGGTAGGCCAGAATGCGACATTTCTCGCGGAGACATCTCGAAGCACACTCCGTCAAACACGAGACGCCTTGGTAAGCCAGATATGGACTTGGTATGGTTGTGGTGCCTGGCCACTTGTATAACATTCGATCTGGAATTCATTTGATTTAATGTTAGTATTGTTGTTGTCGTGTCCATAGAGTGCATTCGAGTCTGATAAATATTGTCTGGAGAATTAGGTCCATGGTATAAGAGACCTTTAACATACTTATTTAAATAAACAAGTTAAAGAGCTAAATCCGAATTAGTAGATTACAGGCCAAAAATTGACTTCGGGCTCTTTGCAGCAATGCATTAAAAAGTGAGCATTTTCTTAGATTTTTAAATGTGACCGATGGTGTCAGAACTTTATGCTACGTTTGTATGCATTCTCTATTACGGTACTGGATGCATGTTTATCTAGACGACAATCAATGAAACAACTCATAAAATACCATTATGTCACCTTTAATACATAAATCTGCTTCGTTGAACGACGTGCATTAGCCTTTAACACCAAAGGCAAGGAAAACAATAACAAAAGAGTACCTACTTTCCCGACCACTTTCTTGCATCTTGCGAAGGCTTACATTTTGACATAGTCGCACGAACTTCTTAAACAAAGGTGGGAATTGAAGCAACGTAAAATGATAATTCAAGTATATTAGAAATCGTGCGAACAACAAAGTGAGAAATGTGGAAGTTTTGGAAAGAGCAGGGCTACAAGTAGAAAGGATATTGATTAAAGATTCTAAGTTTTCTTTGACATGTAAGTAAATAATGATTGGTGGGAAACAGAGTGCAGCAAACAAAAGTATTAAGGGACAATTGCAGGTCAGATATGTTTTAGTCTAAAAAGTAGAGATTGTGAAGAGGGCTAATGACAGAACATTGTGGCAGAATATGGGTGGGTGTGTCCTTGAGGTATGGCACAGAGAGAGAGAGAAAGAGAGAGAGAAGAATTAAAAGCAACAAAAGTATGTCAAAAAGGTCCTCTCAGAGAGTACCTACCGACTGTGTACTCCGGTTTGCACCGTGTCAGGGCAAACTCCGCATCTTGGATGTTGCCTAAAGCTCCTTTCACCAACTGCATACATGCCAGTCTACCGGTGAACATACGCCCGCCTTCTGTGCTCCTCTGACCAAGGGCTATGGAAGTAGCATTGTTAGGGGCGAACCTTCCCAGTGCAGAGGTTTTATTGAAATTCAGGGGGGCATCCAAAGTTGCTATCCCGGTCTTCAAGATCCCCACAGCGGAATCATATACTAAGAGTACCTTATACCAAGTGTTGATTTCCAAAGCGTTTTCCAGTCTCTGACGGTGCCCACCATACGATTCATTGGCTGGTTTTGTAGATACCTGCAACGTGGAGCCCACTGGGAACTGCCTCACGTGAAGACTGATTTGGTCTCCAACTATCTGTAGTACATAACATGTTTCATTTCTTTCTGGGAACAGTAGGAACAGCAGGGTGAAACTGCCCTGGAGGACCAACCCTTCACGGTTCGGTATTTCAATATGTGACTCGTCATCTTGCGAGAATCCCAAAGCGCTAGCATCGCCATATGGGCCTGGTGCCAGACTGACGTTATAAAGAACACCGTGATGACCATTGCCGCTGACGTCATTTCCCAGGTTGGCGTCATCTAAGGGCCAGAAGGCGACGGGTAGTTTGAACATTGTGCCTACAATAAAATGGACAAGTTCTAATGGCGGGTTTGGTAGCTCTGTCTCGCGCGTGCATAGCCGCTAATGTTCTTTATCTTACTTTTTTAGAGGTCTGCTTTTTATCTCGAACTCAATTTGTTCTTAACGTAAAGCCTTTATTTTTATATAAATATTTCTAGTTTAAAAATTTTACTCAAACTTGTTTATCTGTACAACTCCAAACTTTTACTTACAGTGATTTAAATAAACTTCTTATTATCATTAGAACTGTGTGCAACAGTAGACTTATCCTAGTCATTGTGGCACTACATGTAGGAGATTTTGGGAATGGCAACCTTATAATAACGCAAACAACGTCTTTAAGCCGTCTTATACATACTCAAAGTTTGAATAACACTTTTTCTTAAAAAACATTTTGTGAAACACCGAAATCCTTGCTGCAAGCAAATTTGAATTAATATAGTTTTTGTTTAAAGAAACTTTTTTTGCATTCCTGGTGAAAGAACTCTGATCGTACCTTGAATTCCCTTGGCGCACAATGCCAGGGAACATATAAGGACGAAACTGTCGTGGAGTCGCATGTTCTTTGGTTGGCAATCTGTGTATTAGATGCACTGGTAGAAAACGTATCTCTTCACTGCTCTCACATTGAAAGAATGCGTTTTACATGTACATGGGTGAGTACATGTACTCTGAAAAATATACCCGTTGTCCAAATGCGTGTAGCGTTTCCATAACAGGTGGGAAGTAAATGTGAACGATGTGATGAATGTAATATCCATTAATTCTTTTGTCGGTTACTGTCCATGTAGCACTGCAATAATCTTATGTTCAGCAATATTACATATTCATATTGTGTCCAAATTGAGTTCAGATTGTTTATCGACCTCATGGTCAAGTACTTAATGGCTTGTAAAGAAATTCTCTTCGTGACGTCCTGCAGAAAATTGTTCGAAAATTCTTCATGCGTGCTTCCGTTTTATGTGAATAAGGCAATTACTGGTTCTGTGAAAAAGGAATGGTGGTGTGGAAAATTGATCAAGTTCCTCTTAGTGGAAGGCCTAGTGGGTATGTCTGTGGATGCATTCAGACACAACTGCTGGTCTGATTTAACGTAAGAGGTCAGCAATAAGCCGTTAGGCAGTCAACATGTTACATGGTGACGGGGTACTAAAGCACCACAAATGCTATATAGAAATAAATAAATAAATAAATATATTTAAAAAATTGATAATTTTTGCCCATTGAAAAGATCGATCCATTACCGTACTCTTGTACTGGGGTTGGGAATCGGGAAATTTCTAATATGACGATAAAAATCATAAAAAAGAAATGATTTTTTGAACTCTAAAGCGGGTTGGCTTATAGATGGTTATTTTTTCAACGGATGTGGCTACCTTGAAACAATGGGAAAATTCTTGCAATTCCTGGGAAAATTCATTCTGTCTATGTATATAGGTTTGACACGCATTGTAAGCAAGACAGTTTTACCAATAGAGTTTTTTGGTATTGTTGTATATTGATATTTGAGAGTTAACTAATGGCACACATGAATATTTAATATCTTAAAATGATTCATGATTGACAAGGTGTAACTAGTAGATAAAACAGTATATCAAGTCCATCACAAAGTATCTGAGGCGCTAGATAGTTTTAGACTACATGTTATCTAAAGTGAACAGTGTTTGTCAAATTATCATCTGAATCTATTATAAGTACGCGATAGCCCTTACTGTGGCGAAAGGCTCCTGCCAACAACAGAAATCTAGATATTTTTAACGCGTTCCAGAAAAACTAATTGTTCAGGAAATGAAATCGCACATCGCGTTTTTCCTGGAGTTTGTCGCCATCGTGCCTTTCCACGGAATTCAAGGTAAGGCTATTCACCACCTTTCTTCTCTTCATCTTTTATCTTCATTTCTTTTTATCTTTAAGTAATGTATGTTATGTCCTTTGCCTTCATTTTTAAGACATATAGAATCGATTGTTGTTGTTGGTACAGTCTTTTTCCCTTCTTGCTGAAATATGGATTTTTCTTCTTTCTGTTTACATAATTTGCGCTATCACCTCCTCTCTCCCCCTCATTTACCTCTCCTTCTCCCTTTTTCTCATTTTATGTGCAAAATCTGTCGTGAACATGAATTACAAATGATAGGCTTTTTTAGAGTAAAATAGCTTGAATTAAACACCTGTTAATTCCCTTTTGAAAATGTATGACCAATTTTTTCACAAATATTTTAAATTCAGCTTCGATCCCAAAACTACCAGTAGCCTTCTGGCCATTTGATGACGCCAACCTGGGCAATGACGTCAGCGGCAATGGTCACCACGGTGTTCTTTATAACATCAGTCTAGCACCAGGCCCATATGGCGATGACAGAGCTTTGGGGTTCTCAGCAGCCGACGGTTCTTACATTATGATTCCGAACAATGGGGGTTTGGACGTAAGGAACAGATTTACATTAGTTTTCCTTATGTTCCCAGAGAGTAATGCGTTGCAAACTTTATTTGAATACAGAGTGATTCATCGTTATGGGCTTCATGTTATGCAGCACCCAACGGGAACATCGTTTTGGACAAACGTGGTGGAAAATCCATCGCTGAGAGAACATCCTATAGAACTTAAGAATGCGTTCACGTTGAATACTTGGCACAAAGCATTCGTTCGGTATGACTATGACTCGGGAAATCTAGACATAGGGGTGTCGACGTTAGCCCGCCCGCTGACTGTGGGTAACACCGCAAATATTGGCTCAATTAGTGCTTCGACCAGCGGCACGCTTGATTTAGGTCGGAGGATGATTTATCCTAATCGGTACCAGGGGCGACTTGCGTGCGTGCAGCTGTTCGGTACGCCCTTGAGCTTGAGAGAGGTGGAGGACGCCTTAGCTCGATGTAAACCGGAGTACAAACAAGGTACTATTAGTCTTTGTATATATTTTCTGTTGGATTATTATTATTATTATTATTATTATTATTATTATTGTGATTTTTTGTTTAGATTGTGCATTCCGTAAAATCTCGTTGATCTTCAAAATAATCAAAATGTACGTTTGCGTACGATAAGACTGCTTTTAAAACTGTCAAAGCACGCAATTATAGTCTTAAACAGTAATGCGATTGGCATTTTCACCTCACATTTGCATCAATTTTTAAACTATCAATGTACAATATACGTACAGAGTCTAAGTATTCCCATTGCTTTTTGGATAGATCGAATGTTGCACAAGTGGCCGACAACATCACTGATTCCTAGCCCCGCCGTTGTCCACCATGTTGCAAGCCTGATCCATTGCTCTGCCAAGTGCTTGCGAGCAACATGCCGCAATCTGGCTTACAGGAGAGAGAACGGGACGTGTTTGCTGGGACACGGGTTTGGCCTGAAGGAGGTGGAAGATTCTGGGTTTGTGGTGTTTGGGGACGTTCCTTAATTAATGGCATGCAATGGCATTTATATACCCCGGTATAGCTTAATGTAATTTTTAATTTTCCCCTTTTCTCTTTAAGGGGTATATCATTCAAAACTACTGAAAAAGTTACGATGTACAAATCGTTTTCGAATTCTATATTCCTTTTTGAATAAATTGTTTAGACCATGTGATTTTTCGTCAAAACCAAGGGCCTAAAAACAAGGAATATACCCTTATGGCTCAACCGAGCTGTAATTCAATCTGGTAAACACGTAAAGAATGATTTCAATGGCAAAAAATGTTTTATTTTAACTTGCACAAGTTCAGTATAGTTTCCAATGTTAGACACCATATGTTTGCTCATATAATTCTGTAAAAACCTTTTGTAGCATCGAGAGTAAAATAACCAGAGAAGTACCAGTACATGAATAATTTATACAGCAAACAGTGGAAATTTTAGCGGCCCGTAACGGGGTGTAGTTTTCACCATAGCATCTACCATTACCATTGATTTTAATTTCTGGAAATGGATTCCCAAACTTTGTTTCACGTCAAACGACTCAAGTTTGATAAATGATTAGCGCGTCCCATAATGGGGTACATATATAAAGCCATGTCAGTTGTTGTCTGGTCCTGGTACTAATACATTACTACTGAAAACTAGCCTTGGATCATTAGGAAAGCACATGAATATTTAATTGTCATTAAGGCTTTGTAAAACGTATCTGTGCTGTAGAAGCTGGCGACATAGATGCATGGCATTGTTTGCGTTGTTTTCATTCCATTTTAGATTCATCTTGTTCTATTTAATTTGTTTTGTTGATATGAGGGATTGTTCAATGTTGCTTTTGTAATGTTTTCTATTCTTTCAATACGTTAACGATGCGCTGTAAATGGCTTCAAAAGAGCATCTCCTTAATTTCTGTAAAGCCGAGCCTATTGCGTTTTATTACAAAATCGCGAAATCGGCTTCTTTTATTTCAGAAGGTTTATTTATCAGGTATCATGACAAATACAAATATAAAAATGATCTGCAATTGAAAAGCCCTTAATGGCATTAAGGTTACAAACAAACTTATCCAAGTATAGTTCGTAAAATACTTAAGAATTATTTATATTCAAACACCTATTTGTCACAGACGCTTCACTCTACCGTGAAGTAATTATTGTCTACAGCAATCTATTCCATCAATGTGAGGTAAAAACCTTTATACGAGACTTATTTTGTAAATTTAATTGAGAAGTAAGATGGGTAAATGTTCACATGGGTAAATGTTCAATGTTTTCTTTTTTTTTTTGAAAAGCAGCTTATACTTTTAGATGGTTCTGTTGTCCTATCCACAGCGAGAGTGACTTTACAGCATTAATAACTACAACATGAAGGTTATATGGTCAGTTGCCAATTTAACTCGCTCTAACTTATACCCAATATGTTTATTCCATAAGAAAAAAATATAGATGCTCCTGCTAGTCTGTTAATCTAATTACATTCAGGGCCCGCGGAGTAGGATCGATCTACGTAGACCGATAGTAAAAGCACATTGATTTTAGTTGCAATGCTCAATTCACAAATATGGATTGACAACATAGTGAACTAGAAAAGCACTCCGAGGGTGCAGGTCTCTGCAGGCAGCAAAGTCTCCATCCAATTCCGTTTCACCCCTTGATTTTCGATATTTTTGATTATTGACTATTGATTGATCATTGATCCGGATCACCACCAAAAACTAATCATCTGTTTCTTGGCCCACTTTTGACAGTTCCTGAAAATTTCATCAAAATCAGTCCATACATTTTTGAGTTATGTTGATGACAAACAAACAAACAAACAAACAAACAAACAAACAAACAGGGGTGCATGAAAACATAACCTCCTTGGCGGAGGTAATTATAATAAACTGCCTCATTTCATGTAATGTATACACAGACTTCGTTATGGACGACTTATATTATAATTTTTCAATCGTAAAGTGATGTATGTATTACGTCTTGTATGAAACGGTGATTGTATAAACACTTGCAATGAAGAAATTATGTCAAAAATTAATAAATTTTTGGTGTCGTTTTATAAAACCGCGGATTAAATTGGGAATAAAAATGTAATATTCTCTCACTGTCACTAAAGGCTACAATGTAGGTAAATAACCCACACAGATATTTTATCACTTACTACTTGCTGGTGCTTGTATATATATAATCAAAGCTGCCTGTTTAAAACATAACGTCCTACAGGGTTTCATAGCGTATTCAAGTAAAGGCACTGTTACACCTTGCGTATAGCATTTAAAGGGATAATAACTCTTTGTATGAGATCTATATTTCACAATAAAAACATTGTGAACAACTCATAGAAATATAATATATTCCGTTTTTCTACAAAAACGGCAGTTATATCTATTATTCTGATATCTGAACTTTGTCATCAGACCACGTGACCTCCATTGATGGCTATACTCTGTTATAGTCTCTTAAGAGATTATAACAAAAAAACTAACTTTTTAGAAAAAAAAACAGGGACCAACTTTGAATGTGAAAATGGATTCATTAACCATTTGTAAGTGTGGGAAAATTGTTGTTTACTCCAGGAAAATTCATTTTTTGGCCAGAACGAAGAGTTATTATCCCTTTTAGTATAAGAAAAAACGCCTCGAGTATGCAGGTTAACGTTTTTGAACGTTACATACCCGAAAGGAGATGAAAAATTTTAAGCATGTTGAAAAGCAATTTCAAACACTGCTTGTATCTTCATTTTAATACCCTGGTAACACTGTGATTTCATACGTTCAATGCTGTGCGTATAATCGAAGTCACATACGGCTCACTGCATAGGTACCTTTTTACGCTTGGTGTGACAAACCCTTTACAGAGATACAATAGCTGGAAATAAGTGTGAAGCAAAATGTATCAGTGGCATAACGAGTGTTTATCAATATTCTGTAAAACAAGCAAAAACGAATGTCTTGGCTTTATGATCATACTGAATGAACAAAATTCAGGCTGAGAATTCCACTATTGACGGAAATCGCTAAAAGAGTTTAGTAACATTTATATCTGTATACTTCGGTCAATGTTTCATATTTTATTATTAATTTTAGAAATGTGTGTTATATTTTAGTTGATTGTATATAATAAGGCAATTGTTTTCATTTAGATTTAACTCGCGCAACCATGTTTTGCACAAGGTATGTTTAAAATGTGTTTTGCTTAATAAGCTTAAGAAAAAAAAAAGGAAAGTTAGGGCAAATGGATCATGTATCAGCTACATGTATAGATATTTCAAGTTAACTGTGCTGTGGGAGATGCATGTTATCCCGGGGGATAGCTTGAAGTTATTGATCTATGTAAGGTGTGGAAGTAATGGCAATAACATTACTTACCCCTGTAAGAGCTGGAATAACTAGTTAATTTGAAATACGTGAAGTCGGTAAGAGGTCTATGCAACCATATTTTGATTGGCATGAAATAATAAGTAATATGTAGGTGAGAATTAAGAACAATGTTCTCCTTCTTATGGACATTTATCTACAGATGAGTTGAATGGATATAGTGGTGTCCTAAGACAGAGGCATCAAGATGTATACAGAGATATCAACGTGCGTGTTATCATAAAGGTTGTATTGTGTGAATAAATATGATGTTAGAAAGCAAAGATGAATCTGTGTGCAGTCCCTCTCACTAATTGATGAGGATAGTACTCATTATCGTCAAGCAATAATATAATATAATATAATATAATATAATATAATATAATATAATATAATATAATATAATTAGTTGCTTAAAATTCTAGGATCCAAAAGATTGAAGATTCAGGTAAACAAGGAAATAAGTGAGGTAAAACATTTTAAAAAATATTTAAAATGATGTTCTACAAAATACGGAGCTTTGTTAGTATCATATTAACTTTTTTCTATTTTCATTTAAGTTTTATTTTATGGTAATTCCTGGCGATCTCGGCCCGGGTGATGAATAGGTAATGAGAACCTTACATTTGCCAGATTCCGTCACTGTGCATGCTATTGTTACATACACACAAGGTTGGTGGATCTGTTCGTGGGGCCACTGCCGTTAACTTAAGTTTCCCATCTATATTTACCACCTATATAATTAAAGTCCCGCTTGCAGTTTTATGCAAAGGGAATCCCATTGTTATTACTAAATACTTAACGTTATTTTTGGACAATGTATTTTTAAATATTTTTGTGATGTGTTTCTTAGATCTTATCTTAATAGATGTAATCTCAGTTTCTTCGGAAAGGTTTCTTTCTACCAATATTCCCAATAATACGCAAGTTATTATAAAGGGAAAAGCCACGTACAACATTGCAGCATTTCGGTGATTTTTAATCTATTCGAATACTGCCCGCTTCTCCAGATTCCTGGGATGATTGGCACATAGACCGGTTAAACCGCGTGCATGTGCATGTGCTTGTCTTGATCAACGTCCTTTCCAGACATCTGGTAAATGTTGGATTCGTATAACCTACATGTATGCATTACCCGGGCCGAGATGGCCAGGAATTACCACCGCGTATTTTCCACCGCGGTGAAAATTATTTTCCACCGCGGTGAAAATTGATTCCCACCGCGGTGTAAATTATTTTTCACCACGTTGAAAATAATTTTCACCGCGGTAGAAATAATTTTCACCGTGGTGAAAATTCCATAACATAAAACTTAAATGAAAATAAAAAAGGTTAATATGATACTAACAAAGCTCCGTAACAAAAGGATATAGAAAAATACTGTATATTTTTAACTCTGGCATTTTTTAGCAGGTTGGTGTACTTTTTCTCTACGTTCATTAGGATTTGGTTGCTAAAAGGCATTTGTTTGGGATCTGCTTAGTCTTCTTCTCTCCTTGCTCTCATTTACATTATGACTTAAACAAGTATTACCCATCAGTAGATCAGTTTCTTAAAGTGCTAAAGTGATTTTTGACAAATTGGAATAGCGTTTTCTGACACCGTGGCAACGTTTCGAGAATAAATTGATTTCACGCACTGTGTGGTGCAAGGGCTTCTTCTGAAACAACGGTGGATCTTGAACTTGACTGAACAAGTATTAGCTGTTATGGTATCATCTTCTCGACATTGCCTTGCTTTTTGGATAATTGAAGTGGATCATTTTGTCTCAGTATAATTACAATGTCCGTTAATCCAGTTTCCTTGGGAAAAAAAAAACAGTAGTGGATATACCACGAAGATTAAAGCGATTTATAAATATACATTTACACAGGTGCTGACGAGCGATGTATAAATATCTGACTGATGCTACAATTACTCTCTACCGGAGTTGTTCCAGCTGTAACAAAACTATACAATTACTTAATTACCTAATTTTGTAATAGCTTAAAAGCATGTGGTAGAAAGTACGTTGCGGTGGATAAAAGAAGAAAAAAGACGCACGCGTGGTCTAACAGCTGTCCGTGCTTGGCGTGCTGTATGCGCGAAATACCGCGTTTTGATCTTTAAAATTAGTTTCCGACATTCGTCGTGATAGAAATTGTCTTCCAGGAAAACCGATGATGAAGAAACACACACTGCCCGTTTGACCTTGTCACACCTATAAAGACTGACCGCAAATGAATGCAAATGAAGAAAAAAAGGCCGAGAAAGAGGAAACAGTCGACGAAATGTATCACTTTCTCGTCAAATAACGAAAAGGTTTCCGTGACCTTTATGTTCGAAAGTTTACCAAATCCGAACTGTCGTTATTCCTAATAGATTGATGTCCTAATTGCCCACATCGTTATTTGTCAACGTCAGCTGTAATTGTTTGATAAAGGGGACTTTTAGGGACGTCATCTCAGCACTGCGAAATACTGTCTAATTATGGAAATTTGAGAAGCAGAGATGTTCTGTCCTATGCCTCTCGGTTGGTCACCATTTCACTGTTATGTATACTGAAATGTTTATGAAACATTTCCAAAACTTTCTCCTTAACCAAGTTTTATATTTAAACTTTGACTTGCTCAAAGCTACTTAATGTTTTATATTTACATTTTTGCGAAGTGTCCATAAACGTTTTTTGTGGTAAGAGCAAGAATTAACCACATTTCCATGCAAGATATTTTGTTGATCATACTTGATCATGCTCACAAGTGCATGACAGCTTCACGCGTAGGCAAGTGTCCATAATTTACCACGCCAAACACGCTCACGATACTTAACTTGTTTTGGTGGACGGCTGTATGTATTTTTCGCCTTCTCTTTTTAACATGAACACAAATAAGGAGCGTTTTGGAAGATAAAGATCGTTTTAGACAGTCCCTGACCAAATCTTTTTGCCATGCAAATGCAAACATGTCCTTGCATATGTGGTACTGGAAGTTGTGGAGATGATTGCCTGTAAGTCTTAAGCTATCAATAAACGCAATCTGAGGATAGCAGAAAATCCTACAGTTATTGACGTCAATCAATTAGGTAAAGGATATAGAAATACCCTTCCGATATACAATATTGCTTTAACCCTCTTTTTCTTTCAAAGCCCGTTGTGATGAGGTCTCACCCCAAACAAAATTAGCCTCAGCAACTCTTGCTTCTAAGGGTGCATTCCAGGGCCGTAGCCTGAGCAAAATACCAGGGGGGGGGCAGTAAGCGGACACGAGGGGGCAAAGCCCCCGATGGGGGAGGGTGTGGGATGGGGTCTCCC